GATCATACCTGCGATGTTTATATCGGACGCCTGGACATCGCCTTCTTCCTGTTTCCTCACGTTTCTCGCCTCACAGGAGGGCGATCATTTGCACACGTCTCTCTTCACGACTTCCGCGTCCATGTACACTCGTCTGAAGCAACGCCCTTGTGGCTCGAACGCCTTCGTCGCAGTCTCATCTTCACCGTACTCAACGGTACCACTCTTCGCCTCGACGATCTGAAGACGACAGTTACATTCAAGGACCCTGACAATAATACCGCGTCGTCGAGCATTCGAAAGGCTGGCATATCCACAACACGTTCGACCATCGCATGTACGCGTTCGGACGGAATTGACGGGGAGCTGAGGCGGAATTGGGATATCGATTACGGCGCCCTTTACCTTTTGGCGCAAAACTGCCGCTGGACGCTAGCTCCCGTCGATACCAACAAATGGCATCTCTGGCAGTGAGTTTTCGAAGCTTGGCCGTACTTTTTCTCTCTGCTAAAGTCGCTTCATATAGGATTTTCCACAAGATTATATTTTTCCTGCCTGATGTAGTCCCCAAAATCATCGACAATCCGCTCACAATCATTGATCTATTTATCGACCGATGTGAGGTCACCTTTGCACATTTTAGACTTCGGGACGCAGAGCTTTTGAAGCAGGGAGGAATTATGCTGAAAATCAATTTGGGCAAAGCAATAGAACGGAACGCATTTGAAGGGTTCTCATGGGATATTTTTATGGACGCTCTGATTCAATGTGTAACCAGTAATTGATAACCTAGATAGCTGGTAGTACTTTGTTAGACTTTATCGTATGGCCATACACACTCAGGCTGGATCAATTGCAATCTTCATCGCGCAAGTTCCGCTTCCTCATGCTGGATGCCTCATCCGTGAAAGTACTTCGACAGCGATCATCCCGATAACAGGGCGTGGATAGAGAAGATGAGGCTTCAGAACAGCCGACGTTATCAGCCTTTATCACAAACATTGAGCGAGCCGAGGTGCGAGGTTGGTTATCCGCGCGCAGGGCGCAACACCGGCGCCACTGAGTGAATTCGTGATTAATCCGCCTGTGACCTCAAGGAAAGACAACGATCTCCGACAACGTGTCAGACTATGACTACGTTTATAACGGGCTGACAGTCCTCGGCACCCTCAAATCGTCCCCCACCATGTCGCAGCCGTCGATCCCGAACCACGGCTGCACCTGCGGCCACTGCGCCGGAGGATGGCTCTCCCCACGCATGGTCTACCAACTCGGGAGTACGCCCGTCCGCTTCCAAGTTCTCAAGCATCTTACTCATCCTCACCCCCACTTCCAGGCCAAGCTATGGAGATCTTCAGCTTCATGAACGCGAACTCCGAGGAACACATGAATGTCGACCCCTCCGCCGTCGCCATGCTGCCCTACAGCGACTACCTCCCCCGCTCGCTCTTCAAGCAGACCCTCCACCCCGGCTTCTACTGGGGCTACCTCGCCGTCTTCCAGTCAATCTTCGAGATTCTTCAGCGCTTAGTCCGACACCTCTTCCTCCCGAGCCTCCACGACTCTCACCGCGGATGCTGTTAATGCCCACGTGCTCGCCAACTACCCACGGGAGGTGGAGCATTTTTTCGCACAGGGCGGCCAGGTGGTGTACGCTCTCGATGCGATTACGGGTATGGCGAAAGACGCGTCGGATCATGGGAAGGTTGATAAGAGTGAGCGAGTGTTTGCGCGTTTACCACAGTGCGACAACGATTATGATTTCGCGCTTGTTAGGAAGGAGGCTGGATTGGCTGCGAATAAGCGCTGGGGTCCGTACAGTATTGATTCTTGAAGCGTTCCTGGTCGATAGCGAGCAACTTCCAAAGTAGGCAGCAATGACCTGTTGAAAACTTTTGTCGTGTATGTACAACAACCTTGGGTGTAATGTCGCGTTTGCAGACTTGGGAAATCTGATTAATGCAGCGCCTGTGTGAGAATGCTAACTCTGCTATCTTCTACATTTCCGAGTAGGTGTCACGATGGAGAGAGTATCCAGAATCCTTTAGCTTCCCATCCAGCTAATGGCCGACTATGTCCAGGCCGTTATAAGGACGCCGTCGTCCGACTACTCGGGTACAGTGCCATATACCTGGGGTGTGCGGAGAAAGTTTCGAGGAAGGCTTCTGTGAACTTGTTTTTAGTAACGGAGCAGTTCGGGTTCTCCATTTGTACCAACAAGCAGTTTGAGCAGCAGATTATTACCAGAATACGCCTGGCACGAGCTCAAGCTGAAAGCTGAAAGAATCGGGAATGTCGGGTTTGGTTCGCTTGTAATATTTCCAGTTGACGACACAATGGCAATGATGATGGTACAGTACACACAGCTAATGCAAAATTTGAAGATTACACCTGTAAAGAGCATCAGCTACTGACGTGGATTCCCAAGGATGAAACCTCACCTTGTAAATAAGATATCATGTTCAGTACAATCCAATATTCAATCCTTCCTTAATCATAGCCGCATACTGCTCCTCCAGAGGAACAGACGGCTCATATCCATAAGGCAACCTCACGTCCTTCAGCCTCCTCCGCCTTGCATTCACCAGTCTCCATATCGTCGCTTCTTTGATCTCAATCGGCGGCACCTCGGACAAATCCAACAGTGCAAGACATGGCAGTTTCCCATTTAAACCTGACAAAAACGCTGGATCCATGCTATCCTTCAACACCAGCGTCTCGACGGCGTCCGACTGGTGCAACAACGCCAGAAGTCCTAGCGAGTATATCATCGGTTTAAGCCCGATGGTAGTCAGGGTGCAGTTGCTCCTAATAAGAAGATCGCGCACAGCGTTAACGTCCGCGACGCGTATCCAGCCGAAACTGCGCAATGCTGGAGATCAAGCATTGGGAGAAGCTGTGAGATGCCCATATCGGTAAACTTGGGCGCCTCTAGCCATAGGGAAGTAAGGTTCTGGCGCCGCAATGGCGTGTTAGGAGGATGTGAAGGGAATTGGTCTGTGCAACGCGACTTGAAAGTGCGAGCCGAATCCAACTTGCGAAGGATCATCATGTTATTGTCGATGGCTGCGTGTGTATCCTCCCTGTAGTACGACCGCACGCCAAAGTTCGGTTGATGGCATACATATTCCTCTAAGCGCGACCATGGGATGCACAGTGATGCGGGAGACCCGCTGACATGGAGCGCACGAAGCGCAGGAGCAGACTGCACGTCACTGAGAACGTCAAACCCGGTGTCTTCCTCGATATGGTGATCTGGGGCCTTGATAGACACGAGTTCGAGGGCATGTAGTTTACCGTGCACAGGTGCAAGGACGTTTCGCACGCTTGCGTCCGTCAGGTCAAGTAATAATGTGCGCCATCGGTTCGACGTGTCCCATAGATGTGGCAGGATGGGGTGCATTTCAGAGACATGAGTATAGCTTGAAAGCTCCACCTCCAATGGGTACTGTTTTGAACGCGACAACTGCAGCCAAAGAACGTGGCTAAGCCGCTCTGGGTGAGGGTGAAGGGCGAGGGTGTCGAAGCTAACATGGACACGGGACCAGAGGCGGGGAAAGGATAGGCCTGCAACTCTCCACTGACTGCTAACCTGCACCAGAACCCATGGCATCCCGTGGGTGTCCAATGAATCTGCCCGAGGATCCTGATCGTCGAGACAAATGAGAAAAATTTCCCGTAGTACATCCAGGGGCAGCCGTCTGATAGGATGCATGACAGTATGAATGTCGTTCAGGTCGCGCAACTCCTGGTGCCGCTGGTGGACAAGTGACTGCAGACCGCGCCGGGCTTCTGCTATGGCATCCTCGAGGTGTGCAATGCGTTCTCCGCGCACAGGGAGCTCGGCGCAAAAATAAACCTCTTCATAAAGGAGGGGACATACATTCGAGTTGAGGAGATCCGTGATGCGCGCGCTTCTGGGAGTCAAATTAAGAGGAATATTGACATGGGCGCCACAACACGAGCACGGAGGAGCCATTTATCGGTGTCCAATTTAGATTGGAATGGTGCAGCGAGCTTGTTGTGGTGTATGTGTTGGGGGGAAGTTGGAAGTTATGGTAAAGATTCGTGTCAGTCGTGAAGTGGCGTCAATGTCAGCCTTACAAGTAGGTGAGAGGCAAACGTGAAAAGGGAGCACTCGTCTTACATATAACAATCAGAGAGACTACGAGCTTGCCAGTGTCATCTGGGAGGACGATGATGATGGTCAGAGAACAAGGCGTGCGACTTGCATCGTGATTTACCATTTTGGGACAACTCGTTCTCGGTAACACATCGGGGGTATCGAGTTTTCTGAGCTGAGAAAATTGTTCGGAAAAGTAGATTTACTGAGTTCAGAAAACCGAGCTTTCTGGAATTCAATCCCAGCTCGGAAAGTACATTTTTCTTGACTCAGTAAATATCTCAAAAAATCGAATTTTTTGAGTGCTGAGAAAATTGAATTTCCCAACTTGGGATAAGGTCTGAGAAAATAAAAATTTCTCAGGCCTTTTTCGGTCTCAGAAAATGCTAAGAAAAGTAAATTTTCTCTGTATTTTCTGGGAAAATTCGATTTTCTGAGCTGGATAGCTTGAAAAATCAAATTTTCTCAGCTGCAAAACTTTCTGAAAAAATTATATTTTCTCAGATGTTATCCCAAGTTGGGAAATTCAATTTTCTCAGCACTCAAAAAATTCGATTTTTTGAGATATTTACTGAGTCAAGAAAAATGTACTTTCCGAGCTGGGATTGAATTCCAGAAAGCTCGGTTTTCTGAACTCAGTAAATCTACTTTTCCGAACAATTTTCTCAGCTCAGAAAATTTGATACCCCCGATGTGTAACAAAGCGATGATTGTAGCATTTTTGAGAATGCCGTTCGTGATCAATACTGCGCAGTAAGCAAGGTGTTTGTGGCTACTTGGATTGAATGTTGTGTTTGTGGCATGCGCATTGCGCATTCAACATTGCGACAAAATTTTCACTTGAAAATTGAAGAATTCAGAGTTCCAAAAAGAGCCCAATTCAAAGCTGGGACTTAATAGCCCACCGCGAGGGTCGAACTCGCAGCCTTCAGATGCCCTATTTAAACGTAAAAGTCTGACGCTCTATCCGATTGAGCTAGGCAGGCCGAAAGGATTGGCACTTGAGGTGTTAAGGTTCTACCCTCACGTGATGAATAAACCAAGTATCAAAAGCATCTTGTTTGCATCAGCCAATCTGAGGCGCTTCCAGCACGTTAACCAGGAGCCGACTTCCCCGAAGGGAGGCCACAAACAATAATTGAAACTCGGGAGGGACTACGTAATGTACAAGTAGTAGGGTGGGCCACGAAAAACTACTAACATGACTGGTAAGAGTTTTGAGCATAAAATAGTTTTAATACAAGCACACCTGGCGGCGACGCAGTAAGAGCTGGGGGTATGTGAAACACCCGCTAAGCTGTGCGTCTCGCCAGGCCGAGGAACTGAGCCGAGAGAGATAAACGATCATGACAGTGAGAAATGACAAGACGGCGGACAACTACAAAGGTGAGTTGAATGAGTAGCCGAAGGCACGAGAGAACTCACTAGGTTTGTGTTTGCGACCCACAGGTAACAAACCGCAGACACCTCTTTGCGACCTAGACAGCTAGGTAGAGGTAATAAGGTATCACTTAGTGAGTTAAGAGGGGGGAAAGAAGGTAGGAATACTCACCTCATATTGGCCTTGTGTAATCCGAGATTAAAATCGACCAAAGAGGTTGAGAAAGAGGTCAACATTCAAACCGTGCTACGAGGGTATACCCTTCGGCGAGATTTATACAATGTACGAGCGCGCAACACCCTTAATATCATCAGACTTTACCAATTTGAGCTCGTAACGGACTAAACTCCAATAGTGACACTTTACAATACCCCGTGAACTAAACTGAGATTATCGTATACTGATCACCAACTCCAACTCCGACATGGTGGGAAGGTGGATGGTTAGCTAGACTGTGGGCAGTAGTGCACTGTAATCCAGTCCGTGCCCAGCAGTTGTTGATGATGATCTAAACAACCCTTTGTCCCCACATCGCAGGATCATCTTCAGGTTTTCCCTCGAAATGATCGTACCTCCCGTTCGTGCGCTGCGAGAGGGACGACCGCGCGCGGTGGAGCGTGTGTCCTTGCCCAGACAAACTGTTATCGGTATTCGTTCTACCCGCACCGATGCCCGCCAAACCAGGCTGGGTTGTCTGGGATGCTGCACGGGAATGACGAGAAAACTGGGAAGGACTCGGCGCCCTGCCGTTTGTCGTGTACTGTGAAGCCGGGCGGGGACTGGGTGCGCGATACTGTGATTGCGGACGCGAAGGTCCTTGAGAGGGAAATACGTATTGGTTTGGCCTCGGCGAGGGAGGGTCTGGGTTGACCACTGATAGCCTACTTCGCGCACTTCTTCCACTCTTTACAGAATGCCCGTCCCGCCCAGCCAGGCTGTTGACTCTGCTTCTTGAACCCGTCGGTAACCTCTCAAATCTTCGTATACTCGGCGTCAAACCCGGATCGAAGGGGGTGATATCTGGGTTCTTCCACTCCGGCTGTTGCGGGGACGGTGGATCAGGAGGAATAGGCTCATAGTATGGCCTAGTGGGATCGGGATTGGCTGAATAGGGCTGGATGTGCTGGGCCAGAGAGGCGGGATACGTAGGTTGCACAGACTGATCCCATTCGTCGGTCCTAGAGAGCTGGAATTGAGATGCGGGTGGTACATGGTCGGATTGGCGGGAGCGACGAGAGGACTAAGAAGATAATCCTTAATGCAGGAACACGTTGAAAACAGAGTTACTTACGCGATGCGACAGTGGACGTGACAAGGACTAGAAAATATATTAGTTCATGAAGAATGACGGAGGGGCTTGCTTACCGCAGCCTCTACATTGATACCAATGGGCGTGCTTTGATGAGTAGCATCCTGTGTGATCGGCAAATTGGAGATTGTTGTCGAATCGCTGTCAGCATATGCCCGTCCTTTGCCTTTATCATTGGTTGATGGAAGGCGTAAGTTCGCCCATGATTAGGCGAACTAGCGCGCATACTGCCAGCAAACTCGTGGGGTGGGGCCAGGACAATGTCACCGCGGCTCCAACCAAGGGAATAAGGTTATCAGGTGGTGTATGGAATGGAGGATGATGCGACGTGGATGGAGATGCTGGAGCAGTCGCTGTAGGACTCACTACCCAGGGTTGAACGGCGGGAGTCACTGGACGTGGCGGTGAATTTGAATGCGTTGGGATAGCCACAATAGCGGCGGTCCTGCGCTGGCCGGAGGACGAGAATAGAACGAAGAGCGGTCAGTGTCTGTTCTGCCGCCATAGTACCGCGGTTCGCCCTCGTCTTCTTCCTCTTCCTCTGGCTCTGGTTCCTCTTCGTCCTCATCCTCTTCCGGCACTTCAGGTTCCTCGTATTCCTCCAGGCTGGGTCGCTCTCTGCGCCTGACGACTTCTCGCACGGCCTGCTGATAGCCGTCGGTCATGCCCTGCCGTCGACCTTCATCTATTGCCTCCCGCCTGACACGCTCCATTTCCTCGCGGCGCGCGTCTCGTCGCGCCTCCTTTGCACGCTGTTCACTGTCGAAGAGCTGACTTTGTATGTCACTCAAACGTAATTCGCCCTGTTGTGCCCGACTACGTAGATGTTCGTATTCGATGCGCCATCGTTCTATAGCTTCTCTCCCGTCAGAGATCTGTGCTTTAAGGTTGGCACGTTGAGTGTGCAGCTTTCTGATGCGCTCGACAAGATCCTCGCTGAACGCGTACGCGGTGTCCGTACGCACTCGTTCTTTCTTTAAGACGTTCCAGTGCCAGTGTTAGCCCACCTCGTAATCGTTTGTTTTCGTACTGAGCCTCAATGAGCGCCTCTAAAAGTTCGTCTCTCGGTAATTCTCCGTAGACCTCTTCATGCGTTTTCCGGAACGACCTGGGGATTATGGCGCCGTTTCTTTTTCGCCGGAGAAGGCGGGGGTGCCGATGAAAACGAGTTGGAGACAAAAGAGGAGACAACTTCCTCGTCGTGCAGCCGGCGGGGTGCATCTGCACCCATATCCTGCATTCTTGAAGATCCTAGTGCTGTCAATAGTGAGCGTTAAGAGCAAGGGGTATTATGCACAGCCACCATCACATTGGCGCGTGCCGCCGGTGCCCAATATAGACATACGATGAGGACAAGATTTAATTGTAACGAGATGGCAGTTAGGACGTGTGGCAATTAGATTAAAAGATTATAAGTATGGGGATTGACTAGTCTCTGTGTCTTAAACCGGTGTTGCGAAAGCCCGCTTCATCCGCATTGCTGTCGACTCCGACTCCGGCACCGCAGTATTCTCTGCGAAGATAGCCTCAGCGGCACCTCGAGAACACCGCCGCCATACTGGACTCCGCGGCGAGCTCCGACGCGTCATGAGCAGATGCCGATTCATAAGCGCCCGATGCAGCAGCAATGGTGTTCGTCGGATCGGCATTGCCTCCCGTGTGAAGCCCAGGATCGGATGTGGTAGTGTTTCCGCTGGAGGAGACACCAACAGTGATATAGCCCAAAATACCATCAGAGTAATCGCTGCCAAGCTTCACGACGTCAACGACAGGATACCAGCCGGTCGTATTCGATTGCGGGTAGACTTGATCGTGGTCGTTGGAACTATAGAATGATTAAGAGACGGTTCATGAACAGAGTAATGGCACATACGGGCGATTGGCATCAGAGCGGGCACTATATGGTGATAGAGCGTGGATGGCCGTAGTCAAATCTTCATCGAAGAAAAGTTGACCGACATGAATCTGAGAGCCTCCAACAAGAGTACCATTATCGGCTACGGTCGCATCCAGATGCGCAATGATATGAATATGAACAGTGCGGGGACTGTACCATCCAGGAAAGATGGATAGGAACTCGGCTATAAAGTGAATGAGAAACCAAGTCCGAGAAAGCCGAAGGAAACCCATACCTATGCCATTCTCGTCAGATGCCTGGAAGCCGCGCAAAAACGAGAGGTCATCCGTAGTCCCATCGTCTCTCTCGGGTAAGGTGTACTGCATTGTATCGGGATCAATTCCGGTATAACCAGCATAGTAGCCTGTCGAGTTGCAGTGCCAGAATTCCAATATGACACCCGAAATAGGCTCGCAAGTATCGATGTCCATAACGCCAATGTCGAGCCACATAGGAACACCGGTTCTAGAGACGGATTCAAAACAAAGATCGCGCAAAACAGTGCTTTAACTAACCATTTTCGCGTATATCGCGACGATTCAGCTGCCCGGCTATGTGGTAAGGGCCAGCCGTGACTTCTGGAGTGATGATACAGGTGTTTGTTGGCGAATCTACGTAGATGGGTTATTAGAGTCGAATGTATGCGTCCATAAGCAACAACATACTCGGTGAAGATAGCTCTATCGTCAAGCGATGACCTCTTGGCAACGCTCTGACCGCCGTGAATCAAGGACATACGCCGTTCCACATCCGCAGAGCGTTTTATGTTTGGTAGCGTGAAGTTCGCGTGAAGCAATGGCTCAAGTCGCGCGCCTCTTGGCGTTTGTGAACGTGACCAGGGTGCCCGAAGGCGGTTGACGCGATGGCGAGGGGAATAAGGATCGACCAGCGCATCTTCGTGAAATGTATGGGAATGGTGGATTTCGATTGACCGTAACAAATGTGGGCTTCTTATAGGCACGTATGCGATTCAAGGAAGCAGCAACCACATCTGCCGGAGGCCGTAATCACGCAGCCAATGAGGAGAGCGATATATCGCTGCAGTAAGGGAAAGGATATTTGCGCAGTGCACAGTCGCCCCAGACGAGTCTATTTCGCCTAGACTGAGATTTCATCCATGGACGATCCTGATAAAAGATATCCCTATCGAGAGCGAGGAGAAGAGACAATCCAAAGGATAGTGCTAGGAAGGCCAAGCAACAGTGAACTGACTGAGTATTGGAAGTTGATCAGGAACAGTTGCACTTTGGGAATGGATAGAAAGATTAAATACCACTTGTAACTTCCATCCGCTATTTGCGACTTATCGGTCGACTTGCATGTGCTGCAAAATGTGTAGTCGTCATGCGCGCCGCGGCACAGTGACACTGCGCAAGCTATGCACACGTGGACTGAAACC